TTAATTATTTAAGTTGTTTCATTATGTTTTGTTGTTAAGCACAGATCTATAATCTTAATTATTATACTCTTAAGTATAATTTGTTGTATAGAATAACAACATAAAAAATGATATTCCAATAAAAGTTTCCAAGTTAATGTGCTTTTTAATAACATTTTAGATTTATGCATTATGCTCTACAAAATATTCTTCCAAATTTTATTTTCACTATTAGATGGATATTAAGTTTTTATATAATCAATAACTAATTAAAAGTGATAAACCAAACAATATTTATAATTTTAATTTATAAATGTTATAATTCTATAATAATACATTTTTACTTATGTACCTATGTTATTATTAATTAATTTTTTAGATAGGTTTTTAACTTCTATTAAATAGTTTATATGGAAATTAAATGATTAATGATTTGTGACTGTGTTTAAGTATTATATTTATGTTTTAGAAAATGTGTAATTGGATTCAAAGTTGATAAGTTACACAAAGTACAAATGACTGGTGGAGAAGATGGGTTCTCAGTTTTGGGACATATTGCGTCAGGGTATTTGGGCTTCGTTTACAGGAGGATGGTACTACGAACCGAAACACAGCATTTTTACCAATACATTCCATCTTTATTTATGGTTGATTTTACTCTGTTTACCATTTTTTATACATTTGGTAATTACCTATTTTATTTTTCTCTATAAAACTATATTTATTAATATCATTTTTATAAATAATTTTTTGAAGTATATATCAGAGATGTTTATTTGGATACTATATTCGAGTATTGTAAGTTTGATAATCACAATCATAAAACTTGTAAACTGGTCTTTGCATCACATGTTCGACACCACCGAATACATTGTAGAAGACGCTAAAAAGAATAGAAGTTCAGAACTTGAAGGTCGACGGCCTGCTCTTAGAGCACCAAACAAGTAATTTTTTTTTAAATATTAGCTAATTTTAATTATTTTTCATTATGCATTTTATGATTAAACTTGATTTGAGCTCAATTTTCTACATATTATATTTGACTGCTTTGTTTTGATTTAGTATAAATTTTTAGTCCTATCATATTTGTCAAGATTGAACTTTGTCAATACCAAACACTCATAATCAAAATTTGTACAAATTGTATTACTTTTATGTGTATAAATTGAAGTATACATTTTTTTTTTTTATTATTTACTAGGTGATTCATTTAATGTAAGTTATTCATTATTTCAGAAAAGTGTTATTGTTTTTGAAAATATTTTTTTTACATGGTTTCAAATCGTATAAAATTACATTTATAAATTTTAACATCTTGAAAATGTCGAATGTTTTTATATTTGTTAAAATATACAGTTTTATTTTCATYTACAAAATCAGAATATTTTTCTAAGTATTTGGATACATAAAATTTCAAATTCTGTGTTTAAAGGTTAAAAGTATTTAAGGTTTAGATGAGCGAAGTGGAGTGATACGCAGTTATCTCTCAAAATATTTTTGCATTACTCCACTCATCAAAACTTTAAATAATTATAACTCTTAAATTCAATTTGTATGTATCATAAATTATAATATCATATACAAAATTCTATATTGGAATATGAAATTAAAATAGTATATTGCCATACAAAAAAGTTATAAAGTAAACAAATTATGCGGTTAAAAATATAAAAACTAAAAAAAAATTTTAATTGTTGGTTTTTACTAACTAGAAACTATGTAACATTTTTCA